CATTCATTATCGCGGAGACGACTATGAAATGAGAGCAAAGGCGTTTCATTCATCTCTGCAGTCAATGAACACAAGATGTTTGCTCCATCTATCAACTTCAGTATTTTAAGGCTGATTTGAGGCTGGGCCGGTATATGATATACAAAAACCGCATTTGATATATGAATTAATCATACCTTAGCTATGCAAGGCATTGAAATAACGAAATGATTGTGTATGTGTAACGCCAAACGGAGACATTTTCCAATTATCAATCAACAATTCCCTTTGTATATATTTGTATACTAAGTAATAACAAGCTAAAGACGCCTGGTTACCCCCCCCCCCCCCCCCGATCTCCATTTCTCGTTTTTTCAATGGCTTATTGTTTGCCGCTGGCAATCATCGATACTGTGTGAAATAATTCAAGTATGTGCATTTGAGAAATCATGTAACATTCCTTTGAACATGAAAATGTAGCTTTAATCTCAACATTTCCTCCTATGGAACTAATAGATGGAGCTAAATGTTTCGTCATTCCTTGAGATAAGAAAAAAAACATGTAGCTTAAAGGAAAATCCAACCTTTAGTAATCGAAAAATAATCGAAAAGAAAGCAGAAAAAATGCGAACCTTGTGAATTAAAAAACAACTTGTAATCACTATCAGAGTACGGTCACTTCTAATTGGATGAGTCGGTAATGTCACTTCGACGTGCAGAAGTGCCGGACAACTTGCCTAACACACTAACATGAATCAGGAGGGTCTTTATATTTAAACGAAAAAATGAACTCATACAACGAAAGTTGGGTTGCCCTTTAACTCTCAATCTTTCTTCTGGTAGAGCTAGAAGATGTAGCTTAATTCTCGTCACCTTGTTTGCTTGAGAGTGGAAGTGAGTGCTTCTCGTCTTACCAAACAAAAAACTCTTCTCAGTCGGAGCAAGCTGAACTAACACGCTGATTACCAGCGGGCCGACAAGCGAATCCCTTGTTATCTCCAAAACATAATATAGAAACCAAATGGCGGACAAAATAAATGAACGTGCAATGTAGTTAGATCATTAGAAAATTATAAGGGGCGTCTTCCAATTATGATGAAACTGTGGCGTTTTTTTTTTTAGGGGGGGGGCGGTGTATTTTACTACTGTAGACCGTAGTTAAATTTGTATATCGAAAACGTTTCATCTTGATTATGACTTTCTTTCGATGTGATTTTTGTATAGTTTGTATTTAAAGTCAAAGGTTACCACAGTAATTGTGCTCGAATACTTTGTCCATTCCGGAAAATGTCGCCTTTATTGCAGAAAAAAGTAAAATATGAGCCGAACGAGTCTTTTTACATACCAGAAGAAATTAATATATGCATATCAACGGTTACCTTGAATGATATCTTTTGTTTTACATTGTACCTTTCTTGTAACTTTTTTTGCTTGTTTTCATTGTTCTCTTTTTGTTTGTTTTACTCTTGAAAATGAATAGAGTTACCGAGTGGACTTTTATACATCATTGTAGTCCTCCTTTACAATAAATATAACTAAGTCAATTAATCCCATTCTCCTTTAAACTAGCCTTTTTCTAAATCCTGTTTTATTTGTTTCTCTTTACCAATTTACCATTTTAACACACAGAGTTTATGTATAGCACTTTTATATGTACGGCTTTTGGACTGGAAGCACTTATTTTTAGTGTCCCCCAAGATAATTATATATTGGGCATAGTACAAAAGAGAAAAACGGAAGGAATGGTGGATAATTTTTAGATAAGATCATGTAGAGATCAAGAGGAAGGAGGGCTTGTCGCAAAAATAGACTACATAGAGCTTGAAGGAGAAACAGAGAGAATTAGAAAGAGAGAGAGGGAGGGGGTGGGATCGGGAGAGAGAGAGAGAAGCTGTAATGATTGAAAGATAAATGAAAAGGGAGGAAGACAGGAGAGAGAGAAAAAAAGAAAGAGAAAGGAGGAGAGCTTGGGAAAGAGATACAGGAAGTGAGAGAGTTGTATATAGGCCTACAGAGAGAGGTGTGGGAATTAAGTGATTGAGAGAGAGTGACAAGGAAAGGGAAAGGGACAGACAGAGAGAGAGAGAGATGGAGATCCTAGCTGTGGTTGATAACTGAAGACGTTTAGTCGATACTCTGCATCTTTCTGTATACTCAGCCTACCATGGATCCGGATTGGTTTGTTTATTTTTAGGCGGTTTGGCTAGGAGTATCGAGGGGGAAAAGGCTTGCACCACATTCATGTCTCCGCTTCAATTTACCCATCAGATGCGCAAATAATCGCGGTAGAGTTCGCAGTGATTGGATTCCGGGACTTCGAAACCAGTGGGCGTGTGCATAGCAGGCGCGGATCCAGGGGGGGGGGGGGGCCGAGCGGGCCTTGGCCCCCCCCCCCCCCCCCCCCGCAAAAAAGAAAGGAGACAGAGAGAGGGAAAAGAAGGGAAAGGGAAAGAGGAGAGAAAGGGGAAAAAAGAAGACGAAGAAGAAAGGAAAAGAGGGATGAAGGAGATCGGGGAGGTGGGGCAAAAGGTCTTGCCTCCCAGGCTGTTGCCTCCCCCCAATCAAAAAATAAAAATAGAAGGAAGGAAAGGGAAAGATAAAAAAAGAAGAGGAGATAAAGGGAAGGAAAAAAGAGGAAGAAGAAAACAAAAGAAGGGGGATATCAGTTGCAATTTTCCCGCCAACAGATTGTGGATCGGAGGGGGGGGGGGGGGGGGACAAAAGGCCCTTGCCTTAAAAGAGGAGAGCTAAAAGGGAATATAAAAGAGGAAGAAGAAAGAAAAAGTAGAAAAGAAAGGGAGATCAGTTGCGGTTAATCCCGCCAACAATGTGTGGAGCGGGGTGGGGCCAAAATGACCTTGCCCTCCTCCAGCAAACATAAAAGAGAAAGAAGGAAGGGAAGGGAAAGGAAAAGAGGAGAGAAAGGGAAAGAAAAAGAAAGAGAATGAAGAAAGGTAAGTGATATCAGTTGCAATTTTCCCGCCAACAAGGTGTAGATCGGGGAGGGGGGGGGGGGGAATAAAATTCAAACGTGGTTTATTTCTAATTCCATAACGGTGATTTACAAATAATGCTAAAATGACATAATTTTAAGTATATTATACTTTTTTTATGCGTTTGTTGGAAAATGACAAACTCCTAAATTTACAGCCAGGCAAGGAAATGCTTCTTGACATGCCTACATGTCAGGGCTCGCGGAACGGCGGGGATCGGGATCCTTGAACCCCCCCCCCCCCCCCCACCACCCACTTTTTTGAAAAAGTATATTAAAGAGAAAAAGAAAGAAAGAGAGCAAGAAAGAAAAAAAAATAGTTAACTGCCAGTGTCACATTATAATGAGGTATCAAAATATGCTCATCTGACCATGATTAAATGCCTAAAACCCCGAGGGCTCTGCCCCCTGGATTCCACCTAGGGCCCTAAGGCGGGCTCTTAGATGCTCATCTGTTGGTAATTTAATGCCTAAAACCCCTGATTTCTGTGGGCTTTGCCGCCTGGGCCCCACGCCAAATAGTTTCCTGCCAGTGTCACAAAATAATAAGGTATCAAAAAATGCTCATCTGACCGTAATTAAACACCTAAACCCCTGAACTTCCGGGGGCTCTGCCCCCTGGACCCGACAAAGAGCCCTAAGGCGGGCCCCTTGATACTCATCTGACCGTAATTGAGTGCCTAAAACCCTTGGGCTTCCGGGGGCTCCGACCCCTGAACCCTACGCCAATTAGTAACCTGCCAGTGTCACAATTAGGTATCAAAATAATGCTTATCTGACCGTAATTAAAAGTCTAAAACCCCTGAACTTCGGGGGCTCTGCCCCTGGACCCCGCCGAGGGCACTAAGGCGGACCCCTGAGTGCTAATCTGACCGTAAATTATTGCCTTAAACCCCTGAGCTTCCGGGGCGGACAAGGTATCAACATAATGTTCATCTGACCGCAGGCGCGTAGCCAGGGGGGCGGTGGGGTGGTCCCCCAAAAAATGCCGGCCAAAAAAAGAGAGGAGTGAAAAGGAAAAGGGAGTAGACAAAGAACATTTCGAAATTCAGACAAGGATTAAGAGTCGAAAACGTCACAACGATTCGTCTTCTTTCTCTAATAATTTAATGAAACGTAAAATCCTCCGCGCTTCGCGCGAGAGGGGGAACCTGAATTTAGACGAAGATTAAGAGTCGATAACGACACAACGAATCGTCTTCTTTCTCTAATGATTTAATGAAACGTAAAAGCTTCCGCGTGAGGGGGGGGGGAACATAATTCAGAGGAGGATTATTTTTGGGAACGGTACAACGAATCGTCTCCTATCTCTAATAATTTATTGAAATGTCAAAGCTTCCGCGCTTCGCGAAGGAGGGAGGGGGGAAACTCGTCCTTCCCTGCACCCCCCCCCCCCAATTACATCACTGCTGGTCACCATTACGTACCAATATTTGGCTTGCATAATTTCAAAATTGGCCCCCCCCCCCAAGAAATCCTGGATCCGCGCCTGGTTGGCCGTCTGGTTGCTTACTTACAAGCATTTATGCTTTTTAAGCAGTCAGGTAAAATAACCACCTAATAACCATCAATGACGTGGGAGATAAAGTAATACCATATGGCACTTGTGTGTAAAGGAGAGTTGGTTTCTGTGGCCAAGAAATGTTCTATCTATATGTAAGTGAGACAAAATGTGAAGGTATAGAAAATCCACATTTTTTACCACGAGTTAAATTATATGTTGATATGTGTATATAATTTAACTCGTGATTAAAAATGTGGATTTTCTATACCTTCACATTTTGTCTCATTTACATGGGAGATAAAATAATACCATATGGCACTTGTGTTTAAAGGAGAGTTGGTTTCTGTGGCCAAGAAAAGTTCTATCTATATGTAAATGAGACAAAATGTGAAGGTATAGAAAATCCACATTTTTAATCACGAGTTAAATTATATGTTGATATGTGTATGTGTTACACCCCCATGGCGTGTAGGGATGGTTACTGTAAATAACTGGAAATAATCAAAGATGAGGAGAAACAAGTCGGTTGGTGTACTCAGTGCTCACTCAAAATGTAGAATGACACATTTATTATCTCCATAATAAATATCAACAAATAACAGGATTCATCATACAATAGCAATATTGTAAGAACAAACATTCTAGAATTATAATGTTTTCCGTCTTCTTATCCTAATGGATAAATAACCATAATAATTACTATCAAACGTCTTGTACATCACACTTGTTAACACTTTCATCCTTAAGGATGTTCCTTTGAAGTTGCTAAATACTACCTGTGAATTAATGTATTCTTAAACGCTAACAAGTTACAATATACATTACATACCAACCCGAGCACGAACCCGGATCATGTTTATATTAAAGATACCATGTTCATATAAACCATGACTTTTCCTTTAACTATCCTTATGTTCTCATGAACATACATACTAATAAAGAAGTCATACTATTATTATCAAACAGTATCCAAGTAAACTCCCTTAAATAATCAAGGATTATTTAATACAAGTTCCATTATACCATCCAGTAAAACCTATATGAAACAACATGAACCTTAAAATGTAGTTCAACAAACTACTAAACTGAATCTCAAAACTAGTAATGACACTTTTAATCATCACATCAAAATGACTATGTACTCTATAACAAACTAACTAATAGAAAGCCAAACAGACAGTTACTTACACTGTTCACAAGCTAACTGCGCATCATGCTTTATATCTTAATGCATTATAATTCACTTGTTCAATAACCTACTAAACTACTAAATACTATGGATGGAATACTAGTAAAATGTATTACTTTAGCATGAATACATAAAATATACAATATACATGTATACCTACTAATATCAAAATACATAGATAGAAATGATATTGTCTTACCTGGAAATAATCAAAGATGAGGAGAAACAAGTCAGTTGGTATACTCAGTGCTCACTCAAAATGTAGAATGACACATGTTGTACACTATGCATGCTGACCGATCCCTGCTCAAGTCTTAATCTCCAAGTTCGTCCATTTATGCTGGTAGGGTAATGTTTACTAAACTGGGGAGATTAATCCTTAGCCTGTACTTCTGAGAATAGAGTTTCTTTGTGCTCACTGGACATAGCAAACTCATATAAACTTACTAAACAATACAAAGTTAGGAACAAAGGGGGTGGGCATTTACTAACTAAAGTGGAGTGGGCATTTATTAGTGAGTCATCAAAGACAAAGAGTATATCTCTATAGGGTATAACACCTTCCCCCACCAAAAAAAATAAACGTCCACTTGACACTTAAGCAATGTCATAACTGTGAGGGAAAAAAAAAATCCCAATGTTTAAACCAAGAAAATATACCTCTGATTCCTTCAAACTGTTACATCGGTGTAACATAGTCATTATAGTTATGCTATATATACATCTATCAAATAAAGTAAGTAAGTCAGGGTGTACGGTCCCAACTTGAATCTATAGATCCTAAATACTAACTCAATAGAAAGAGAATATATCCCTAATAACATATCAACTATGACAACATTAATGAGTCATACCCTTTGAGAAACCCTCTTGTACAACATAAGTACTAATTTGTCAAATGCTGCAAAGGTTATCTCCTATCCTGTTACACTACGTAGTGCTTCTTCTTGTAGACTCATTAAAGTTTCTGTTTTGGAATCTCAACATCTATACGTATATTAATTTGCATTTAGACTTTTCAGTTATACATCTTCAGTGAAACTTTTCTGTACATTTAATTTCAACCTCCTACCGGTGACGTAGCCTCTTAGCTACACTCATGCTCTTAGTCATTGCTGGTCTCATCAACTGCGGTGTTGGCCCGGGTGGCTGCGATGCTGGTCCCACTGGCTGCTGCACTTCTGGGATTGGTAGTGGTGGGTTGCGTGGTACCTGGCCAGAGCTTTGGTTAAATAATTGATACTGAAAAAACATATCATGTGGGGGAGGATAAGGCATAGATAAGGTCTGGGGCATGAAAGGAGCAACGTGAGACTTATTATTAGGAAGAGGGGAGACAAACTGATGCTGGTCGTTCAGTGTAGCTGGAATATGCATCAGGTTTGGTTGAATTGGTTGAAGGGTAGGATCTCCTAAACTGTCGTAGGTGAGCCTTGAAGGAGGGTGACGTTGTCTCGCTGGGCCGTGCTTTCACGAACAGGAGCTGGATTCCCATCTCGGATGGCTGCAATCTCTGCCCTGATCAAAGCCTTGATCTCCTTATGTATGCTGTTCATGTCAATTTTGGCCTCTGGTGTTTCTTGTACGGTATTGACTTGGGCTGGCGTCCTCCTCTTGTGCTTATTTAGCCGCTCCGTCTCATTATTGGCGGAGAGGTTGACTTTTTCTAAGAGGTCCTCGTCGCTGGCTGCTGAGTCATTCAGGTAGGGCTTCATATCATTCCGTATCCCCTCATTCAATATGCCAGTCAAGGCAGAGTGCCTGAACATATTCTCCACTAGAGAACCGTTGTAATGAAATGACGAGCCGGCCTCCTTTGACACAAACATAATCTTTTGCTTCAGGGCGAGCAGCCTTAACAAGAAATCATGGGCCGACTCCCTCTGACCTTGTGCAGCCCTACTCAATTCGTGGTACAGCTCCATGGCCTCTTTTTCTTGATAGTGTGATCTGATGAGCCGACGGAGGGTGGGGAGATTGAGCTGGGGCTTCGACTCGAGATACGCCCTTAGGGTCAGACCAGGCGCCATTGCTCGAATCACAGCGTCAACGATCTCCTCATCTGCATATCCCCTCTCTTTTCCCCGCTCGATCTGATGGATGAGGCTCATAAAGCTTAGCCTCTCCCTCTGTCCTGCCTCCCCAACCTGACCGGAAATCTTGAATTCCCTTCGCCAAGGCGTCGTTTCCGGTTGGGCCCTACCAATGGTCAATGGGGATGAGGCTACCTCCGTCTCTTGCTTGGTTTCCATTACCTCACCCTTGGTACCAATGGCGTCCGCCACCATCTTCCACGTTGCCTCTCCACGGTCTTCGCTGTCCGCCATCTCGTCGCTGTACAGATGCTTTTTAACAAGCCTCACGAGCTCTGACCTACCCCTTTCCTTACCTACACTCACCTTATCCTCTGGCAATCCCAGGGTCGTCAACACGTCTATGAGTCCCTCTATGCTGCACCCTTTTAGTCCCTTGGTGACATCATCTATAAGGTCCTCCATCCTTGACGCTCCGGCTACTGTAGGAGTTGGTGAGAAGCGGCTTGGTCTGGATCAGGTCAGTCTACCCCGCTCGTCTCATAGGATGATGACTTGCAGCTTTAGTCCATCGAGAACATCAAGACTGGTGACATCATCCGGGCAGTGCCTCCAAAATGTTACACCCCCATGGCGTGTAGGGATGGTTACTGTAAATAACTGGAAATAATCAAAGATGAGGAGAAACAAGTCAGTTGGTGTACTCAGTGCTCACTCAAAATGTAGAATGACACATTTATTATCTCAATAATAAATATCAACAAATAACAGAAATCATCATACAATAGCAATATTGTAAGAACAAACATTCTAGAATTATAATGTTTTCCGTCTTCTTATCCTAATGGATAAATAACCATAATAATTACTATCAAACGTCTTGTACATCACACTTGTTAACACTTTCATCCTTAAGGATGTTCCTTTGAAGTTGCTAAATACTACCTGTGAATTAATGTATTCTTAAACGCTAACAAGTTACAATATACATTACATACCAACCCGAGCACGAACCCGGATCATGTTTATATTAAAGATACCATGTTCATATAAACCATGACTTTTCCTTTAACTATCCTTATGTTCTCGTGAACATACATACTAATAAAGAAGTCATACTATTATTATCAAACAGTATCCAAGTAAACTCCCTTAAATAATCAAGGATTATTTAATACAAGTTCCATTATACCATCCAGTAAAACCTATATGAAACAACATGAACCTTAAAATGTAGTTCAACAAACTACTAAACTGAATCTCAAAACTAGTAATGACACTTTTAATCATCACATCAAACTGACTATGTACTCTATAACAAACTAACTAATAGAAAGCCAAACAGACAGTTACTTACACTGTTCACAAGCTAACTGCGCATCATGCTTTATATCTTAATGCATTATAATTCACTTGTTCAATAACCTACTAAACTACTAAATACTATGGATGGAATACTAGTAAAATGTATTACTTTAGCATGAATACATAAAATATACAATATACATGTATACCTACTAATATCAAAATACATAGATAGAAATGATATTGTCTTACCTGGAAATAATCAAAGATGAGGAGAAACAAGTCAGTTGGTGTACTCAGTGCTCACTCAAAATGTAGAATGACACATGTTGTACACTATGCATGCTGACCGATCCCTGCTCAAGTCTTAATCTCCAAGTTCGTCCATTTATGCTGGTAGGGTAATGTTTACTAAACTGGGGAGATTAATCCTTAGCCTGTACTTCTGAGAATAGAGTTTCTTTGTGCTCACTGGACATAGCAAACTCATATAAACTTACTAAACAATACAAAGTTAGGAACAAAGGGGGTGGGCATTTACTAACTAAAGTGGAGTGGGCATTTATTAGTGAGTCATCAAAGACAAAGAGTATATCTCTATAGGGGTATAACATGTGTTTTTACGCGTAGATCATAATCAAAATATTATACACGGTTCAGCATTTGCTCAAAAAGCTATAGACCATGATTAAGGAACAACGTACCATAACTCGACTATCTCCAATAACATTGATAGCGGCTTCGGAGAGGATCTCCTAGTAAACCTATACACGACTTTTCGTTAGCAATGGAATCCAACGACCGTGGTAATATGTAAGGCGTTTAGACGCATAGAAGCTCTATACAAACGTGACTATTATCTTTAAACTTGAAATCCATTTTACATAACCCAAGAAAATGTCAGACAAAATCCATTAAACTATAACTCCAAAGCCTGTGCCTAAATTAAAAAGTTTAAAAACACCCACTAGTAGATAGAAACGCACTCTCTTGAATGCTATCATTATTTTTGTAATTAGATTATCCAAAAACTCTGTGGAAACAACATTTCCCATACGATGAGGTAGAGTAATTGAGTGCCTAAAACCCTTGGGCTTCCAAGGGCTCCGACCCCTGAACCCCACGCCAATTAGGGACCTGCCAGTGTCACAATTAGGTATCAAAATAATGCTCATCTGACCGTAATTAAATGCCTAAAACCCCTGAACTTCCGGGGCTCTGCCCTCTGGACCCCGCCTAGGGCCCTAAGGCGGACCCCTGAGTGCTAATCTGACCGTAAATTATTGCCTTAAACCCCTGACCTTCCGGGGGCGAACAAGGTATCAACATAATATGTTCATCTGACCGCAGGCGCGTAGCCAGGGGGGCAGTATGGTCCCCCAAAAACCGCCGGCCAAAAAAATAGAGGAGTGAAAAGGAAGAGGACGTATGAAGAAAAGGATGTAGACAAAGAACATTTTTGATATTCAGACATGGATTAAGAGTCGAGAACGTTACAACGATTGGTATTCTTTCTCTAAAAAATCTTTCGCGCTTCGCGCGGGAGGGGGGAAACTGAATTTAGACGAAGATTAGGAGTCGATAACACGACACAACGAATTGTCTTCTTTCTCTAATGATTGAATGAAACGTTAAAGCTTCCGCGCGAGGGGGGGGGGGGGAGGGAACATAATTCAGACGAGGATTATTTTTGGGAACGGTAAAACGAATCGTCTTCTTTCTCTAATAATTTATTGAAATGTCAAAGCTTCCGCACTTCGCGGAGGAGGGTAGGTGAAAACACGCCCCTCCCTGAACCCACCCCCCTAATTACATCACTGCTGGTCACCATTATGTACCAAAATTTGGCTCGCATAATTTCAAATTTGGGCCCCCCCCCCCCCCAAGAAATCCTGGATCCGCGCCTGGTGCATAGTAATTTGATAATTATTACCGAGGGTTCAAATGTGCAGGAAAAGTTTTCTCCCCCGGAAAAGGTAGTGGATTATTTTGTGCGAGCTCCGCTGCGAAAGCGATGCGAGCAAGGACTCCGATTGTCTTTGCCAGACTGCATGCGATTCATCGATCACCGCGATCGAGAGGAAGAGTTGTTTGCGAAAAAACAATTTGACATCCCGGCGTATGACGTATCTTCGACCATATCAGTATCACCTTGAAAATAGAGACTCTAAAAATTGGAATCCCAAAAGAACTTTTTTTCCCCGCGAAAAACACATGATTACTCATGCACAGTAGCCCTATACGAAAGAAAACCATTATTACTCTCGCAAGTTTTTAATTAAAGGCTCGTACACTCCTAAAACCTTTTCCGTTTAAAAAAGGACCACCATCACCCACAATAATTCCGACCGACTACTTCCAATTTACAGGAATACCGTTACTGTTTAGACTTCCAGTCATTAAAGTCAAACGATATGCATATTGGGGATGTATAGGAAACACAGGAAATATAATCCTGATGATCAAGAACACCTACATGTAGGCCTTATGATGTGCCAAACCAGAACCAAATTAATCATTGACACCGAAAGATCAGGGGGAAAATAACATCTATATAACCATCAGCAAATACAATGATATTATTTAACGAAGCTGCAAGTCGTACTTTCGAGTACATGTGATATACAGGGTGGAACAGTGTCTTAGTGGGAATCAAATTCACCCACAACAAAAAGTGAGTCATTTGACACATTTAAGCATAATTTTCGTGAGTCAGGTGTAAATTGACTCATTAGTAACAACCAATGAGTCTCTATTGACTCATTTATATTTCACCAGTGTGTCAATCATGAGCTGACGCATTTGCAAAATGCTTCGACTGACTCACATGGTCGTAAAAAATGAGTCAAGATCGACATAAGAGCATTTTAGAAGAAAAAAGTGAGTCAACTTGAAAGTGAGGCTGTATGCATGCGCGCGCATGCTTTCGTGACGTCATCCAAAATGCGCATTCTCGAGCCATATCTGATTATTATACAAATGATGCATGCGTTCATTTTACGATATCCGCACTCGAGTTGATGAGGCTGTGTGTAACTTAACTATCACTATGAACATGACTGACAATGAGAGCGGACAAAATATACAGTTCCTCAGGTAGACAAAGGAACATCCCTTACTGCTATTATGTAAAAATGTGTAGAACAGGTGTCACATGCATATTCACCTTTTTACATAATAGCTGTGAAGGGATGTTCCTTTGTCTACCTGAGGAACTGTATATTTTGTCCGCTCTCATTGTCAGTCATGTTCATAGTGTATAGATTCTACTGTATCGCACGAAGCCGTGTCGAATGAAAACATGCATGATCTTGCATCATTGTTTTATACAACGAAACTCCTAGATCCTTGTTATTTGATGTAAAACGAATTAATTCAAGATTGTTTCGTGACAGTATGGGTGACAAATAAATCTCAAGTTAAGGCTTAATTTAGTGCGTACAAAGTAGATTTTTCAGATTCGGGTAGCGGGACCACCGATTACATCGCTAAAATGTGATATTTTAGGATATATTTTCCATTGCAAATGTGGACAGTGACTCTAGCATGGTATGGTATGTGTGTGATAGGCCTAGGGAGTAGGGGGGTCTATGTCATGATGCACCCACAACAAAAAGTGAGTCACCCTTACTCAAATTGATGAGTCACTGGTTTGTCCGTACAGCGAAACACTTGAAGGATCATGTGAGTCACTATGACTCGATACAAATGAGTCTTATTTATCTAAGAGACTCATTTGTATCGAGTCATAGTGACTCACATGATCCTTCAAGTGTTTCGCTGTACGGACAAACCAGTGACTCATCAATTTGAGTAAGGGTGACTCACTTTTTGTTGTGGGTGCATCATGACATAGACCCCCCTACTCCCTAGGCCTATCACACACATACCATACCATGCCAGAGTCACTGTCCACATTTGCAATGGAAAATATATCCTAAAATATCACATTTTAGCGATGTAATTGGTGGTCCCGCTACCCGAATCTGAAAAATCTACTTTGTACGCACTAAATTAAGCCTTAACTTGAGATTTATTTGTCACCCATACTGTCACGAAACAATCTTGAATTAATTCGTTTTACATCAAATAACAAGGATCTAGGAGTTTCGTTGTATAAAACAATGATGCAAGATCATGCATGTTTTCATTCGACACGGCTTCGTGCGATACAGCAGAATTATATAGTTAAGTTACACACAGCCTCATCAACTCGAGTGCGGATATCGTAAAATGAACGCATGCATCATTTGTATAATAATCAGAAGATTCAGCCCACGAATCCAGTCATAAAAATCATCGTTTAAAACCATATGAATAATTCGTCCTTGTTTTCACGAAGTGACGGTAGTGAGGAAAATCGTAACACAAAGTGAATGCAATTTTTTTTCACTACCGTCACTTCGTGAAAACAGCGACGAATTATGCGTACCAATTTTTCACTAGCTGCAGTCAAAACTCTTCTGAATCCAAGATATAAGATGGCGACGTCGCGTCGTCGATCGGGAATTCAAATATGGCTCGAGAATGCGCATTTTGGATGACGTCACGAAAGCATGCGCGCGCATGCATACAGCCTCACTTTCAAGTTGACTCACTTTTTTCTTCTAAAATGCTCTTATGTCGATCTTGACTCATTTTTTACGACCATGTGAGTCAGTCGAAGCATTTTGCAAATGCGTCAGCTCATGATTGACACACTGGTGAAATATAAATGAGACAATAGAGACTCATTGGTTGTTACTAATGAGTCAATTTACACCTGACTCACGAAAATTATGCTTAAATGTGTCAAATGACTCACTTTTTGTTGTGGGTGAAGCAACTAAGAAAATGACCAAACCAGGCTTCATGTTTTTCTTTCTCGGAGCACTTTGGAAACATGAAATTTATAAAATAAGTTTTAAAGCTAGAGGGTCGATATTTATAGGTGTTTGGAGGGGATGGTGCGGCCTTTTTGAAAAGACGGGCCATTTCTATACAGCAAAATATGTCGAGGGCATTTTGTCAGCTGTTGGGTTACGCCCCCGACACGTCCATGTTTCATTGATTCTCCAATGAGAATCATTGTGAAAATGTACTCTCAAGTCTCAACCAATCATGTTTCATGTTTGATCTCGCGTACTATACAGCTATATGTGAACTATAGCACAGGCGCACGTAGCTTCCATGCTAGAGACTATCACAAATTATAAATTTGTATATGATTAGAGTCTAAACGATAAATACTCTTCTTCTAATATGCTACTACTGCTGCTACTGCTATCACTACTACTACTACTACTACTACTACTACTATTACTATTACTACTACTATTACTACTACTACTACTACTACTACTACTATAGTACTACTACTACTACTACTACTACTACTACTTCTACTACTACTACTTCTATAGTACTACTACTACTACTACTACTACTACTACTATAGTACTACTACTACTACTAATACTACTACTACTACTACTACTACTACGTTATAATGATATTCAATTCACATGTCAGATAAGTACAATGTGAGGAACTTATTTGATTTGATTTGATTTGATTTTATTTCTGCATTTTTTCCAAATAAAATATAACTGAATAACAAATAACATAATATACATGTAAGGTATAATACAACATAAACAAACAATAATTTCTTCATGTCAAAATGTTTTTTTACATAATATATGTACATAATTATAATAACGAAACTTATTATTTCCATAACATATTATCATAAATTTAAAGTATTATCCTAACTATTCTGGTGGAAAAGTGCAGGAGACCGCAATCATAAGCAAAGCTTGACAAGGATGGCGGCCTCAAAAAAAACAAGAACAAAACAAAAAAAATCTTAAGGTAAACTTAAAATGAAAAAGTGTTCAAGCGATCTTTGTGTATGAGTTGGTGAGTGTGTTGTGCAAGTGTATATATATATATATTGAAAAGCGGTGCTTGTAGATTATAGGTTCCGCAATACAAAAAGCTCTCTTTAAAACACCCCCCATGACTATAACACAGGAACCAATGTAATTCAGGTGAGATATCATGACCCCCATTTCGTTTCTCTCGTTAAAACTTTGACAGAGCCTTGCACCTCAACGTGAGAGATTATGATATTGGATTGCGCTGGGGCTCTGTCTGAAAGGAAATGAGAAGTATGTGTTTTCATGTCCAAAAGTCACTCATAATTTAGATGAAGACCAAAATGAAAGTTCGAACGAATTAAAATGACCCATAATTGGCGATATAACAACAATTTTAACTCTAAAAGCTAGCACAACAGGGAACTCTGAAAATTACTAGTACACAGGGGCGGTGATTTCGGGGGGGGGGGGGGGGGGGGGGTGAGGGCGGGACACGTCCCCCTCAATTTTGTAGGGGGATCTCCCCCCCCCCCCCCCAGAACATTCGAAAAAGTGCAAAAAACAAAAATGTATAGCAAATACTGACTAAAGACTGCAACACACTTTTAGGCTCTGGAGGGCCCAAGAGTACAGCGTTAGACTAATAAAAAATGTAAAAACTTTCTCGCTCGGTCGCTAGCATCCCTCGCATAATATCCTTCAAAACATACAAGTAAATATTGTAAAAAATCTGTATTCCATTGGTATTACGTAAGCACAGTTTACACTGTATGTTTACAAGATTAAGAGTTATAGAAATAGATCAGTGCTACAAAAACGAATATTCCGCTAGCTCTTTTCAGTGAGGAGTAACTACAACATAGTGTATATATTTGCCAGGCTGATATTTGCCATTTCAACTCCCATAGCCATGGGTGTCGATCCCGGGGGGGGGGGATATATTCCCCCCCCCCCCCCCCAATATTTCAGGTGGGGGATGGCCTGTACAATCATCCCCCCAATAATTCACCATAAAAAAAAATTAAAATGAGGAGAAAAATTAATGATGAGAGCCAGATGGGAGTAGTTTATGGTTATTACTTGCAAGATGACCATCAATATACCAATTTTCATAATACATATGTAAATGAGACAACCGTATATGAGACAGGACAATATTTAATTCTCGCTCATACGGCTTCATCAGGAATTGATGAATTTATTCAATTTATTCAATCAACAGCATCATAGAAATGCAATGCGCCAAATGCTAAGCCGCAGCGTCAAAAGCAACGAGCTAAATGTTAAGCGCGAAGCGAAAAAGTGCAAAACAGTAGAGAGTGGGAGAGAGAGACAGAGAGGATACAGGCGCGTAGCCAGGGGGCAATGGGGGCGGTCCCCTCCCCTCCCCCCCCAAAAAAAAAAAACGCCGGCCAAGAGAGAGAGAGAGAGAGAGAGAGAGAGAAAGAAGAAAGGAAGATTAAGAGTCGAGAACGGTACAACGAATCGTCATCTTTCTCTAATAATTTAATGACACGGTAAAGCTTCGCGCGGGAGGGGGAAAATTAATATAGACAAGGATAAAGAGTAATAATTTATTGAACCGTCAAAGCTTCCGCGCTTCGCGCGGTAGGTGGGGAAACTGCATTTAGACAAGGACACGATACAACGAATAGTCTTCTTTCTCCAATAATGTAATGGAATGCGAAAGCTTCCGCGCTTCGCGCAGGGATGGGCGTAAATGAATATAGACAAGGATTAGGAGTAATAATTAAATGAAACGTCAAAGCTTCCGCGCATTGCGCGGGAGGGCGGGGGGAATTGGACTCAGACAAGGACACGATACTACGAATCGTCTTCTTTCTCTAATAATTCAATGAAACGTGAAAGCTTCCGCGCTTCGCGCGAGATGGGCGAAAATGAATTCAGACAAGGATTAAGCGTAATAATTTATTGAAATGCAAAGCTTCCGCGCGGGGAAACTGAATTCAGTCAAGGACACGATACAACGAATCGTCTTCTTTCTCTAATAATTTAATGAAACGTGAAAGCTTCCGAGCTTCGCGCGGGATGGGCGAAAATGAATTCAGACAAGGATTAAGAGTAATGATTATTTAAAACGTCAAAGCTTCCCTGCTTCGCGCGGGAGGGGGGGAAAACTGAATTCAGACAAGGATTAAGAGTCGAGAACGGTACAACGGATCGTCTTATTTCTCTAATAATTTAATGATACGTCAAAGCTTCCGCGCTTCGCGCGAGAGGATGGGGGGAACTGAATTTAGACAAGGATTGAGAATCGAGAATGGTACATCGAATCGTCTTCTTTCTTTAATAATCTAATAAAACGTCAGAGCTTCCGCGCTTCGCAGGGGAGGGGGGAAACTCCTACCTCCCTGCACCCAATCTCACTCCAGGAAGTAAATTCATCCACATTATGCTGCACTCCACCCTGGTGAAGTAAATGGGGACCTGTGGGAATTTCTTCCTTGAAACTCGAGCGCATGACAGCTGCTCAGTCAGCTATAAAGCCAGGGTAATTATGTTGGATTATTGTAAAACGGGAGCTTGGAGACTTCTGATAAAATAAGTGTTATGCGCTATATAAGCGATTCTGTTAACATTCACCAACTTCTTTTGTTTTGTTTTTCCAATCCTTGTGTCAACTCTCAAGTAGGCCTACGGTCAGGGGCGGCGATCACGGGGGGACGTCCCCCCCCCCCCTCGAAAAATTCGAAAAAGTGCAAAAAAATAATGTACAGTAAATACTGAATAAAGACTGCTATTAGGCATTGGAGGGCCCAAGAGTGCAGCGTTTAGACAAATAAAATTGCAAAAATCTTCTGGCTCGGGAGCTATGCTGGACCCCACTCCGATTAGTGACCTGCATGCAAGTGTCACAAATAAGGTATCAAAATATTATTTAACATTTAATTCATCCATTTTGTCTGTTACCCAGTACATCTTGTCTTTGTATTTTGTTGTGTTTTTCTCTAGAGCGCTTAGGGACATGTTTTAATACTATGTGTTATGTGCTATACAAGAACGGTTAATTATTATTATTATTAAATATGCTCATCTGACCCTTATGAAATGCCTAAAAACTCTGAGCTCCATGGGGCTTCGCCCCTGGACCCCGCGCCAATTTACGCCCCACTTGCTTTGCTCTATCTGATCAAAAATACTTTGTGATGCGGATTCCCCCCCCCCCCAAAAAAAAAAAAAACGTTTGTGCTCATTACGTCACTCCTCCCTCGTTCCTTGCATTTCGTCGTCCCCCCCCCCCCCCCGGTCATAAAAAGAAATCACCGCCCCTGCCTACGGTCCTTCCAACACCTTATATCGCTCACACACAGCGTGCGAAAGGCCGCCAAAGGCGGCCCTTTCGCGAGTAGATTATAGTTCGCCTTAAATCATGTTTCGTACATGTATTAAGAACTTAGCAAATACTTTGTTTATAGTTTCAATCTTTAATCATTGTTAAGGTCAACAAGGGGCCAATCTGGAAAACAGTGTAATAACTGACAATGCTACCTTGTAAAAATAAACTACAAATGATTTTTAAAAAACGCTAAAATTAGATAACTTGTGCATATACTTAACCCCCCCCCCCCTCACAGATGCACAAGAAAAATAAGAATAGAAAACAGGCTAAATAAAAACTACAGGGGGAACAAAATAAATCAGTGAAAATGATTGGACATAATCATGAATGCAGAGCATACTGATATTATATATACTCAAGCAAAAGGAAATTATCAGGCATACTTCGGGTCTTAATATCAAAATGTAGAAATGGAATAGGTACAAACATTAAGACGTTGAACAGTGAACTGAATAAGATCATATCATTAATAGGTACTTGCTACTTTTGTATACCAATTTCATTTGATCATAAATATATAGTTAATGTAATATTTCAAAAGTTAACATGTTAGATATTCAGATATTCGTCTATGCCGCTTGAGGCGTTTCATATTGCTACTATAATCAAACGATTTGATTAGAGGAGGTATTTACAGTCTGCCCCAGGCTCTAATTTCCAAAAGGAGGAAGAGAAGGGAAGGAGAAGAAAAGGTGGGAAAAGTGTTTGAGATTGAAACAGGGAGGGAGAGGAAAAACAAAGGGAGGGGAGGGTAAAGAGAGAGGGAGGAGAGAAGGGAGGGGGGAGGAGAGGGGAACAAGAACGAGTGGAATACCGAAAAGGAGAGAGAAAAAAGACAGATAAGAAAAATTATTTGTAGAAACAAGTAGGTTGAGCAAAAATATATAATCTTGAAATGAATTTAAGATGGAATCAATTGCGTTTATGAAATTCCCTTTAAAAAAAAAGAGTAATTACAAGATTATATTACTGTTAAAAACACAAAACCATTATTTTTATCCTGATTTTGTTGTATTATTCTCTCTCTCTCTCTCTGTTTGTCTATGTCTGTGCCTGTCTTTGTCTCTCTCTCTCTCTGTTTCTCTCTGTATGTCTATGTCTGTGTCTGTCTGTCTCTCTCTCTCTCTCTCTCTCCTCTCTCTCTCTGTGTCTCTCTGTGTGTCTATGTCTGTCTCTCTCTCTCTCTCTCTCTCTCTCTCTCTCTATCTATCCCTCCGAAGTATTGAGTATTGAAGAAACATACATTAGTCAAAATTTCATGACACTCTGACCAACATTTATTCCAAACTCAAATGAAACAAACTGCTCCATCTTTGTTACCAAAAAAAGCAAGGAGGAAAAAAAGCTGAAGAGCTGATATGTGCAAACTGGTATGAAAGAAACAAATATGGAAAAAAAAATATAATGATGGCTTAAGTTGCAGGTAGACTAGATATAAGAAGCTTTTGGCATCCAACAGATCAATTAAAAAAATAATTTCATAGGGAAAAAGCACCAGACAAGCAATGACATTTCTGAAATTAGCAATCAACAAAGTTAAGTATCAAAGCACCCCACAGTCTAAGCTACAGTTAGAAATGCTTTATCTACATGAATAATAAAACAACCATACAGTAGGGGAAATATTCTGAATTAGAAATTCCCCATTTTAATAAATATGAATAAAGCAAATGCGTTCTTGGTAGTTATATTTTTTAAACTGGATTAGGTACTGGTAATATGCTATGAATACAATACTTGTTAGCATTAAAAACAAAAGTACAAGTATTTTTTTCTAAAATCAGTTTTTTTTTTAATCAAGCTGTCATTTATTCTTGCCTTAAATTTACAATGCCTGATATGATTCTTTAATACCTGTTTTTTTTCTTCTTTAGGTTTTAGTATTTTGTTTGACAAATAAAAAGTGATATATACATAAAGAGAAATATAATCTTATTTACAATTTCCTCATTTGATGATAAGGGCATGTCAGCATACAAACTGTACATACTAATATATTTCGTGCACCAAACATTACTATTAATTTAACAATAGTATTTACATGCTCTCGTTTACAAATATAGGTTTATCTGTAAATCCATACTCTTTGTTAACTAGTTTGAAATTTTTTCTATTAATACAATTCATTTCAAAGTGGTATAATGGGCACATAGAATGCAGATTGAGAAAGCACAAGTTAGCACAAATTTTGGTGGTATAGAATACAGAAAAATATATTCCTCAGCTTAGTGGGCACAATTGTTTTGCACCTTTTATAAGAAACAACAATTAATGATTATGATTTCTGATTGCAATATACTATCTACTTGTAATACTGTGAACTTACATGTAAATCAACTTGAAAAAAGAGTTGTGAAAACCGTTTTCAATATGCAGAAATATAGGTTTCTAATGGCAAAGCATAATTGGAATAGTGCATTATAATATGAGTCCACACATCTCAATCAAAACAGGCTGTTATTCTCTACCCTAACAATATTGATAATTGTGTGTGAGCAACACATATCAACAACATCTATACGTTCCATACAGACTGCATAATGCAAGTGTTGAAGTTATCAAATCATAGTTTTCTTCTAATCAATATACATAAAAACAAAGAAGGTATAGCAATCTCTGAAGTATACTAAATGACAATTCCAACATATCAATGAGTACTCTTGATATAATGCAATTATCCGATTGTAATACCATAACACTTTCTTTTTTACAAAGGATTGACAATAATCTTCATTTCTCAGGAATTCTTTTCATCATGTTATCAATGGTGTAAGGTCAATGCAAGGCTGGAACCTGAATGGACCTAGCTAGTTGATTTCTAATGTTATCATAACGTTATGGTATTGAGAATGTTTAGAATCTAGAAATACAGTGACTCGATATAATTGAAGGACAGTTTATATTCTGCATGTAGAGCTTCAAGGTTTGTGTTTACAAACAAAATACATGTATATCCAAAAGATCAATCGTCCGGTATCTAAACAGCTTCAGCTGCCTGAGGTGTAGCTGGTTTAGATTTTTCTACCTCAGATTGACTCCCAGGCCTCCCTTTGGTGCCATCGCTTTCTGATTCCTCCGCAATCCTTGAGAGGTTCCCAGACCTTGACTCCTGCGATGAAGACGTTTCACCTTCCGTTCCCGAGGATTCTTCCTTCTCCTTCTCCTTCTCCCCCTCGCCGAACACCTTGTCTGCATCCTCCACTGGAGTTGGCTCCTCCTCTGTGGAAGGTTCTGGGGGAGGGGTATCTGCTTTGGGTGGGGGGAAGATGACGTACCTCTCATGGATCAACTCGTTCGTGATCTGATCTAGCTGGGCCCGAATCTCAGTTGTGACCTGACGATCCTGGACAACCTCCCAGGCGCCTTTCTGGAACTTGACCGGAAGGGAGAAGAAGATGTCCACAGGCAAATCATACCAACCTGAAATACAAGAAACAAAAATTGTGTTAATATCAAAACTGCAGTTTCAGAAATATTTCTTCTATGAAGAAAAATTGAAGAGAGAGAAAAGTATATTTACATTTATAAAGTGGTTTTGTTAAACTCAAAAAGAGAATATACATTACAATTGTTAATATACGAGGTATTGTAGCACAATCATTGCATTCTAACTTTTATTCAGTCTAAATAATGTAAAAAACAGTGAAAGTATAGTAGGGTGGATCCAAGATTGAGAGAGGGGACGAAATTCTGAAAATTACATCATCAAGGGGAGTTATTTCATTTTTTTAAACTTAAGGTATACCACTTAAGTTTCAAAAGGAGGGAGTATATTTGACGCACATCCACCCAACCCGCCATTGGATATAGAGTTTCTGGATCATATGGCCTGGATTTTTTTTCTTTAGATATATATCTAGAGGACTTACCATCTGAGTAAACACCAAGTGAGAATATTTCTTTATCAGGAGAGCCATTGTACCAGTGGGTGAGAATACTGGTCAGGGCATGCGCCTCTGACATAGCAACCTTGTGATTCAGCATGGTTGCAAGGGCATCAGGGTGGTTCTGGAGAAGCTGAGGATACTCTGTCTGGAGCCACTTTTCATCATGAACAACCTCTGTCACGGGCCTAGAGAACGAAGATGGACCCCAGATGGCCCCCTCATACTTGTACACACGAGCCTGGGAGATGTCAAAATGAGTAATACCACCGATGTTTCCCCAGATGATCAAATCGGCCACACCTGCAGTGTTGACGTTGATCTTCCTAGCAATTGCTGCCTTGGCTCGATTCTCCTGGAGTCGTGGGGTTATGATGATGTTCTGTCGGGCGATCCTTGGAGCATTGTGTTTGAGCATTAGTGCAGAAAAGTTCAATTTGCCTCTACCACCGATCAAAACCTTGACATCTTGTTCTGCATACTGGTTGAGAATGCGTCCATATAGAGCAAACTGGGCACATCCTTCCTGGCTGACTCCACCAAGCTTGGCATTCTCTTCTTCCATCAGACAGAACTCATCTAGAAACACTGCAACATGTACACCAGTTAGAGCTGCTGTGGCATCTGTGTAAACCTTCACACCCCTTAGCAACGGACAAGCTAGATCAAACACCTCCATGCACTGTCCCTCCACATAGTCCTTGTCTTCTGGTTTTGTCAAGAGTCTAATGCTAACCTCATTGTCATGGCCAAGCACATCTCCTCTTGCTATCTCATTGACCATGTGGTATGCTATGGGGCTGGAGGAATTTGTGATGCAAACTTGGAGGGGCGTACTACGGCTTAGTCTATGTTGTTCCTCTGCATCCATGATAATCTTTGTTTCTAAATTCTCGGATGCAATTTTGGTCATGTCACTGCTCATTTGCTCAGATGAGACCCCATAGTAGCTGTAGGCATATTCTTGGAATTCATTGGATCCGCCTATGAGAACTCCTGCTCCACCTCTATCAAGAAGTTCTCTCCAAACAATTGGTGATTTCTTGAATGACCAGTTGTTCTGCTTGCATTGTTGCTGCAACCAATCCTGTATTGAAGATAAAATGATACTCATTACAATACATGTCATATACGAACATAATCTAATGCAGGAATTTCATCATTCATCAATTGAGAGGCGAGCTAGTAAATTCATATATCAATTTGCTAAAGGTAAATATATACTGATCAATCTATAGATGATCTAAAGCAACTACCATACATATCTTTGAACAAGGAACAGAATTTAGGTTGAATATACCTTCTTTGTCTAGTATTAATCCATAAATTATTTAATCAAAGCTGTAATAACATTCAATATCTAACTAAAAAGTCAGGAAATCCGAACACACAGGCCTTAAATTAATCGACGGCCATCGACGGCCAGGCCGTCGATGCCCCTATGACTGGCCGCGGTGCCCTCCCAAAAAAAGATATATTCACGGCCAAAAGGCCGTGCCCTTTTTTTTAAACTGGCCGACGTGCCTTTTTTTCCAACTGGACGTGCCCTTTTTATTTTAAATTTGCGCACATAAAACCACCAATTGCGCCCATAATCATCTAAAACTAGACGGCAAGGCGCAAGTGTTTTCCGTGAAAATGCGCCCATAAATTATTAGAACAGTAAAAATAGACGAATCACGAACAGTTTGCCGCCCACGAGCTCTCTTCTAGCTTCGTATTTAGTGCTTTAATAAGGCTTAAGTGCCGTGAAAATGCGTCCTTTGTTATTATATAGGCAATGCGCTAGCGCACGTACGTACGTACGTTCATATTATGCGATCGCATGATATGCATATGGTGCATGCTGTTGACGCACGCACGTACGTACAAATCGAAGGCCAGGATCAAGAAAACAAATCGTCAAATGGAGAAATAAACAAGCATTCAAATAGTCATTAGAGATCTGTCGAGGTTTGTTTGTAGGCCTAGTTTATTATTTTATCTCAAATAGAATTTAGAATTATCTTATTAATAAGTTAAGAACACCTACGATGTTCTCGATCGTAGTTACTCTCATTTTGCCACCAGCCGACCTCGCTTCAAAAAGCTACCCCGCCAGCTTCCCAAGACGAACGTTTCGAGTCCCGGTGAAATTCCGAGGGTGCATCGGTTTCGCTGGCAAACTTCCAGCCCGACAGCTTCCCACCAAAAGTGGCGAGAGTGTGTGTGCGAGGAACGATTTTGGTTTCGTGAATGCACGTTACGCAACTGAGCTGAGCGTGTCACTTTCAGCTGTCGAATGTCTATAAGGACATTTTTACATCTTATTTCATTAGTTAGGCCTATGTAGACCTTTCTATACAACAGTTAAAAAGATAATTTCTTCAAATTTGCTCCTACTACCGAGAGAGTGGCGGAAGGTTTGTGTGTGAGGTGCGATTTTGATTTGGAATACCCGGCCCGGTAAACTTGCCAATTAAGTCCTTCTGACTTTCGATGTTTGTGAAATTGGCAATTTATTTATTCATTTGCTCATCAATATTTTTAGTTACTTTAAAATACTGTTTAATGTGCAATTTTGATGTTCTTAATCAATCTTTCCTGTTCATATTGTTAAGATTAAAAAGTTATTAAATTGATCGTTCGATCTATTCACATTATGAAATTAACATTTGTAGACTCTCTTTGAACTTATGATTAGATAAGCGGCCTATCTGTTTTTGGAAAATTGCCCCTTGCTCTGGTAAATCCCCGTGGCAAAGGGCAACTTAAAAAAAAAATTGCCCCTTGCTCCTGGCTGCTAAATCTAAGGCTTGCGGGCCGCCGCCTTGTTTGCAGGCGCGTAGCCAGAGTTTGGTGTTTGGGGGGGCACATACATGTAATCGATCGAGGTCAAGAAAAGGGGTCTACAAAATTTCAACCGATCCTGGAAATTTTAGGGGGGGGCACGTGCCCCCCGTGCCCCCCCCCCCCCCCCCCCCCCCGTGGCTACGCCTACGCGCCTGCTTGTTTGTATGTACCGTAGACCTCTATACATTCTGTGAAGAAGCTGGTGCTAAAAGTCATGGGAAATTGATCCTGCACAAGTTTCATAAAATACACATGACATCTAACAAAAATAGAATCAATTTTTTTGGCCTCATACTGGATGCCCTTTTTGTAAAATATTTTGGCCTCGATGCCCTTTTTGTAAAAATATTTTGGCCTTGGTGCCCTTAAAAATATGAGGTACTCGAGGCCAAACTGGCCTTGCCCTAAAAATGACGAAATTTAAGGCCTGAACACATATACAATTATTTTGCCAATATCATTCAAGTTAAATCTTCATGTACATACCTCCCATTCTGCTGGCTGTTTCACAATCTTGTGTACAGAGAAATCTTGCAGGGTGGCATCCAGCTCGTCTGCAAGGAGCTCCACTTTTGCATAATAAGGACAATTTGCCCTGCCTGCACAAAATATGAAGAAGTAAGAGGTTTTTGTGAGCATACTGGTATGTGTTTATGAACTTCTTATTTCATATAATGAAAACTCATAAAATATTATTTTGCAGTAAATTCTGAAACCCAACTCATACCTAATTTGGGTAGACCCTACTTGATATTACCCTGTATGATCAAGCTCTACACAGATCAACGCTGTGTCAGTTTGGGAACCCATTATGAAAAAAGGTTTAAAAGTTGCTGCAATACCGACAGATGATACCATTATAAAGCGCGAATTGTTTTCTGAGGTCCTCTCTTTTTTGCTGAAAATTTCATAATATTCAACTTTCTTAGTTATTTTATTAAGGAATAGGGTCTATATATACTTTTTATACAGGAATTTTGTAGAAACCTAGAGTCTATGTGCAATGATTATATCTACGAGGGTGTAAGATTACAAAATTACTTCAATTTTCAAAGAAAATAAGAATTTATGATTTTCATTAGAGTAAAGGAGCCGGTTTTCGGCCACTTAAGACAAAATCCTATTTTTTGGACCCTTTACTTCCTATTTATTATCATTTTTTGTTCAAATCATGAAGCAAATATTATTATTATTTAAACAAAACAAGAATCCCAGAAAAAATCACGAATTGCCACGACAATATTCATTTCAATTTTCACTGTTTCGGAGTCAGTTTTCGGCATAGCGTACCAGTTTTCGGCCGCATGTACAAAGTCAATAGGAAGCGCGTGCGCATGCGCCGTGCGTTTCCGCGCTGATCTATAGCACTAGCCGGCGAAGCAGATATCCCACGCAGGAGCTCCCCGGAGCTCGCCAGGCCGAAAACTAGTACTGCGGTGATCGGATATTGGAATCTGAATTAGACAGAGATATCGTGTGTGCGTTGCGGTGTGCGGCTGCATTGATTTAATACATGCGATGAGATACTTTTGAGCTTGCGACTAGCACAAAATCGGGCTCTAAATCTGAAAAATACTTGAAATAAAGCTCATTTTATGGTACCCATATTTCTTACAGACACGCGTAAGATACTCAATTTTTCAGATTCGGGTAGCGGGACCGCCAATTACATCGCTAAAATGTGATATTTTAGGATATATATTTCATTGCAAATGTGGTTCTTCAGTGACACTGGCATGGTATGGTATGTGTGGGATATGTGTTATGCTATTATGCGATGTATTTTAGAGGAATTTTACCTTGCATCCAACCAATCGGCCGAAAACTGGAGCTGGCCGATTACCGGCTCCTTTACCTAGACTAGATTCTAGTTACAGACCATTAGATCTCTAGAAGAGGACCTTGCAAGTAGTTCTAGATCTAGACTCTAATAAGAGTCGCTTATTTGTTTTTATTATGACGTCCTTATTTTTTTTTTTTGGATATGAATTGAATTGAATTTGCAAAAAATTGATGTGTGTGAGTGTGACTGTGTCCTAGTCTAGGCTTGAGAAATCATGAAGACATGAAATAATCAATCATCATCATCATGTTGATGCCATTTATTTAATTCTAAATAGCATTTCAAACTTAAAACTTTAAAACATAGAGTTTGGAGTTATGAATCACATTAATACAAATATAATTTAGTCCTCATAACTTTGCCGTCGAACACTAACGCGAAAGGAACGAGTCAAAAGATAGAGGAACCACAATTTACCACATGAATCGCAGCGTGTGGGACCGTTATGCTAAAACAACTTCAAAACTCTATACATTTCTGATATTTCTGCACTCATTATTCATTCTTCGCGTATATTGAACTATACTTTGTGCTACTTGGATCAATAATATGATATAATTTTAGATTGATAATTTCTGTATTCTATAATAATCTCACCTGCAATCACAAACTTGGCCATTCTAAAAAGTTGTTTTTTGTTGCCAGGCACCGCTACTGAAGTTGGGGAGCAAATTTTACACGTTGAGCATTTGTATGGTGAAATAGAGAGGCAAATCATTATAGGAAAAAAAGGGGTGTAACATGTAGAACTGGAGGGACTGTTGTTGGTACATTTTTTTAAACAAGCGGAATAGGGACATCGCTAAAAGGAGGATAAGGGGTTTAACAAAAAAGTGGATATCATTGAGGAAGAAATATCCTTTGAAAAAGCATGAAAATCATCATATTCACTAATTCAACCACAGGTAATAGACCGGACCACCTTTCAGTGCGGAGTGGGAACGTGTGCGGGGAAGGGGGGGGGGGGGGGGGGGAGGACCAAGATACGCGAAAACAAATGTATCTTGTTTAAATTGTTACTTGTATCAGAGATTGTTCCTCTTCTCCTCCTCCTCCTTCTTCTTATTGTTGCAAAACGGGTCATATTTTGAGCGCATATAAGTATGCAAAATAAGGGGTATTCTATATTTTGCTTTTCTCTTGGGGCCAACGATGGCATGCTGTACATTAAACATGTGAAACAATAATGTCAAGTGCGTACATGATCTCCGGGCACCCCCCCCCCCAACCCTCCTCCTCTAGCTCCCTCCCCCTCTCTCCCTCTCCCTCTCGATCTCTCTCTCCATCTCTCTGTTCTCAGTTGCCCGATGGTTTAAAAAAGTTCCACTACTAAAGATTCTAGGAATCTTCACTGATTTCCATTGAAAATTCCAAGAAAAAAAAATCCTCCTTTCGAATCGTAATGTTGTTGATAAACCACTGTGAAGCCCCAATCCATAAATAATTAACCGTCTGCATATATGGTTTACAGTCTTGACAGATCAACATGGGGGTAAGTCCGAAAGATTAAATATTGTTTTATATGGGGTGCAATGCAAGTAAAGAAAACATTGTTTTTTTGCCCTTTCGTTCTACAAAGGACTGCTTGTGTGTAGAGAACTGACAGAAGTTGATATGAAAGCTATGGCATAGGGCGGCTAGGACCTATATCTGCATGAGCCCTCACATCTAAAATATGTATTGGTCTGTTTGTTTTAGTTGGTATAGCCTATAATAGAGGCCGTTTTTTTTAAATATCTTGTTTGTAGTTTTTAATGTTACCATGAAAGGATCAGAATACATGGCAGCCAATTCCCCCCCCCCCCCCCCCCCACCGTGGACACACGCTGTTGTGACAATCTTGTGGTCAATTTTCTACATTTATCGACTTCCAAATATATTTTCTACGTCTCTCTCTCTCTCTCTCTCTCTCTCTCTCTCTCTCTCTCTCTCTCTCTCTCTTGCCCCTCTATCGTCTTCTTTTCCGTTCCACCATTTGATCGGGGGATGTGCCCGGTGACCTAGCTCCTGCCCTTCCCTATAGTAGTACACAACCCCAATGCCTACAACAGTGCACATTTTTATTGATATCATGATAATGCATAAAAGTTCTTGATTAAAAACATGAATTAGGGAAATCTTTTTCAACACTTCGACTTTTATCAACCTTGTGTTTTATTTTTATTTATTTTTTAACCCGTTTTACCCGTATATAATTTAACAGAAATAAAATTTCATTCCATGAAAAGTTAAATATGTCCCGTAGATATTATGGGAACCACTTTGGAAGAGCTTTTCGAGCGGTATGATCTGGAATATTTTTAATGGACCAAAGTGTCAGTCAGTACCTTCTCACTATAGATCTAGGTTGAAAAAAACAAAAACAAAAACAAAACATGTGCCCATCTATCCTCTCCTTTCTGATCATTTCAGAAATGCAAAACTGGATTTTGCTGGGGTATAATTGACGCGACACGTGCACATGAAATCAATTTATCGCTGAAATGAATGAAGACATTGAGTGTGAAGAGGCAGAGAGTGTGATGGAAAGACAAATTCATAAATGTAATAACGCCCTCTACTGGAATATCCGGCCGATTGCATTGCGATCCATGCAATGCAAGGCACGTGGCTGGCCTTTTAACCGTGTTTGCAGCTGTATAGCTATAGCGCATACATGTGTACAAAATTATGTGTGTAGTAAAGTATGCAAGCGCAAAAAGTACGTACGTGTGACATGAACAGGCAGTGTGAATTGCACTGATGTGAACTGAATATCTAGAATCTACATCTACATCTAATTTAGAAATAGTCTAGATCTAAATCTACTTCATCGGCAATATGGCATCTATCAAACCAAGAAGGAGACATGGAATGGGTGAAGCGGGCCTAAAAGCTCTCGATGCAGAAATGCAGCGTTCATTCAGCATGAAGATGGGGCAATTAAAACGAATGGTAAGTGTGTGTAGCCGTAGCGTAGGGACTATGGTGTCTGAACGATTTTTCATTTTTCCCCTTTGGATTCTTCTTCTTCTTCTTGTCATGATATAAATGTTTTATAAATAAATCATATAAATTTTTTTATCTTTTTTGGAGTATTTTTCTTATCTTTTTTGGAGTATTTTTCTTATCTTTTTTGGAGTATTTTTCCTTAAAACGAAGACTAGACTATAATTAATATTCACTTTCTCACAGGTTTCACGGTAAACAGTCTTAGTAAAAAAGTTTTAGACACTGCACAATACAATGCACCCTTTTACGGTTACAACAGTGGCATGTGCAGACATGGGCGCCATTTTAATTTACGTAAATTAAAATGGCGCCCATGTAAAGATGATGTGAGTGCACAGCACAGGTAGTGACGCAATAATACATGCGCATCTGAAATCCTCGACTCAATGTTTGCGTGCATATTACAATGGTGAACGGAGGGATACCATGCGTGTTACCAAAATGTCCGGTAAAGGGGTACTTTTCACGCACCAAAGTCTGGCTGGTAGTACACAAAAATCTGGCCCGTATCGACTTTACACACCAGGCATAGGGGGGTGTTTTCAAAAGGAGGAAACATGCATAGACCCAATATACGTACCCTAAATCACGGGTGGCCAACCTGCGGCCCGCGAGCTCTTCTTGTGCGGCCCGCGGAGCATTGAAAAAGTAATTATAAAAATAGTTAATGAATGAAATGCGGCCCGCATAACAGCGATGAAATAGAGTAAAACATTTACACACAGCTATCTCTATTTCCATAATTTTGTTTTCATCATTCACAACATATTGATTCATTACGTGGCTTATACGAAACTCCTCAAATTCCCTCTCATTACATTACATTAATTAACGACATTAACATCACTCGCCGTGTTAATTTCAGTTTGTTATTTCCACATGCAGTAACCTTTGTAAATATACAAATAATAACAATAATAATAATCTTTTAAAATCCACTCCAAATTTTATTAAGTTAAACCGCAAATGGAAATTCTTTTTGCCCAATCGATCGTGAATCAAGAAATATGTTTGAAATGCCATACTTGTCTTAAAACTTACAACCCTTTTCTCCCGCCGTTTAATTTTTTCATTAATCTTAATCGTGGATAGTCCCCTTATATTCTTTCTGCTGTGTCATTGATTTTGTTTGAAATAACAACCAACATGGCATCGATTTCGAGACGTGCGAAGAAAAGGAAATTCATCAGTTAAATCGGATTAATCTCTGAAGTATTTCTTCAAAGAAGAGAAAGGTAAACAACTTTGCCTCATATTTTGTCTGCCAGAAATCACACTAAAAAAGTAAGCCTGATTTTGTTCGACTGATTTTGTTGTTTGCAAAATTGCAGGTGTGTACATGAGTGTGTGTGTGTGTGTGTGGGGGGGGGGGGATTTCAGATTTGGTTTTGACGGTGTGTCCCGCTAAAGCCTCGTAACCTCTACCCATTTTTAAGGGTTGTTTTGGCAGATTTTTGTTGAAAGTAAAGCCCATTTTATAAAAATTTCGGGTGTTTGCATGGCTAAAACCCTGAATTTTTTTTTTAACAAATTTTTTGAAAACACGGACCCATATTTAGGATATTTCTGTTAAAAATGGGACCCAAGTTTAGGAATTCTTTTTGTAAAAAAGGTTACCCATTAGAGCGGCACACCCCGTATGTCTCAATATGTGATTAACCCCCCCCCCCCCCCCCCCCCCCCCCGCCTGGCCTACGGCCTACCAAGTTATGACAATCCTTTGATGTGGGCCGCGAGCTTTAAAAGGTTGGCCACCCGTGCCCTAAATAACACTGAGTGGGGGGGAGGCAGGGTATTGCATACTGTACTGGTAACGTACCAACGAAGGGCCAGGTGCACAAGCGTGTGTGAAGTCGTTTAATACAGTCGATAACTTCACGCACGCTCGCTCGCCCCCACCCCCTTAGTCGGTACGGTTCGGTATGCAATTGTATTGTAATTGTGCAGCGGTTTGCCGTAAAACCTGTTAGAAAGTGAATATTATAATGTCTTTGTTTTTAGGTAAAAATAATTGAAAGGGGTAAGAAATATAACTTTATGACCATTATTTGAACAATTGATGAAGATTAAGTTGATTTTTTTTCTCCACGCTGGAGTTACGGGTAAAAAATGTATACAAAAGTACACTAGCGCCCTGTATTCAGTTCATCACATATTTGAGAAGGGAGCTGTGTAACACTAACAATGGCTTTTGCGAATGCTTTGCCCTTGGTTGTGTCGTAGAGGGGGAAGATTTCTTCTGGCAGGTGTATAGTCCTCCAAGATGGCGGCCCGCATGTTTTGCCTCTTCTCTTAGACCAATATTATTAATTTCAAAGTCATGAAAAGGCACTAAATATCAACAAACATGGTCTAAAACAACTCCAAATGACAAAATAATCCCAGCCATGAATTTTTTTTGAGCATCTTGATAGCCAAAAACTTGAAAATTGTTGTCATTAAAAGAAAAAAATCTGTTGATTTTTTTGCCAATTATTTTTGCCGATAATGATCACAGGTGCAAGAGCATCGCTTTTTTTGTAATTGTATGTGGCAGTGATACAGGATGGTACACGAGGGGTCTTAAATTGCATGTACATGTAATGGGGACAAGTTTGAATATCAGTGATAGGTTTAAATTTATTCTCAAGTATTTGTTTGAAAATTCTTCAAAATGTGGGTCAGATTGCATTAGAGAGCTAGAAGAATCCCTGGACTGCAGGTGCATGGGACTTTGTGCTTCATGTACATCAGTCCATACTAGATGCAATTTTACAATGTTTCAATATTTTTTTTTTGTGAAACCAGGACCACCCTGACTGATCCTACTGATTAATTAAGGCAAGCAGGTCTCTTTTAAGTTCTCGCCTCATTTTTTTGTTGTGGTTATAATTTGTTGATTTTCTACAGAAACGTGATGCCCATGAAGAGGATCCAGACTCAGGTGTGGTCTACGTCTCCCACATTCCTCATGGATTCTACGAACCTCAGATGAAGAAGTTCTTCTCACAGTTTGGAAACATCAAGAGATTACGGCTCAGCAGAAGTAAAAAGGTGATTATCATGAAGCTTCATCGATCCCCTTCTACCTAAATACCCAGTTAATTGTGAAAATGTTAGGGTTCAAATAACTAAAATGCTTTATTCAAATCAATTTAGAAAATGGTCAGGAAAATCCAGTTTTCATTAATGTAAACAGGTGAAGTAAGTGCGTTGAGCTTGTACTTAAAGTCATGCATGTTCCCTGTGACGTTTTACATGTAGCTGTTTGTTAGATGTTCATCTACCAGTACAACTGCTGACATTTATTTAAAGGGCCCATGTCATCGAAATACAAGTGTATTCCTGTGAGTGTGCAGTCCTGCATTTATCTCATATATCTATTGGGTTGAGCGCACGAGCATGTACATGCTTATGCTGCTCTCCAAGAAGGAGCTCCTAATTACTTGATTTTGCTATATTTGATCTTTTGTACTATTACTATATGATTGTGTAAGTTACATGGCATCAGCTGGTCAAATTGTAAGTTTTATATGTGATTAAGAAGCACTCCATCTCTCAATGTTTTTAAAACCAATTTAAAAACTTATTTGTTCAACTGAGTGATCTTATTTTGTAGAATTTAGTAAAAAGGAGCTCTTAACCAGCGCAGCTTAATATATTTTGTATAAAAGCTGCGCTATATAAATCTATTATTATTATTATTATATTATTATATTTTGATATGTAAACTTCTGAATTTGTTTCATATATTTTTTAATATTTTTTGAAATATTTGTTTTTCAAACTTGCTAAGCTCCACCCCAAAAACCTCCAGATCTCATTCCCCTTGTGACATCATCTGTCATTCATCAATGAACTAACTTGAGAAAGTGTAACTTTGCCAAAGTTGACCACCTGTTACAATACCACAAACAATAGCAACATATAAGTTGCGATGTCAAGATCTTCTAGTGCCACTAGAGAGCGTACTTTTCATTATTAGGATGATGGAGATTCTCTTTGATGTGGTACAAAACACAACTTCTTATTCTAATTGAAGATGGGATGGGGGATATAGTTGATCATACATGTACATTAGTTTTGGTATTTGAATGGTTTCTGATCCTAGATTTTGTTCTTAAATGTATATTGACATTTGTTTTACTTTCAGAGTGGCAAGTCCAAGGGTTATGCTTACATTGAGTTTGAATACGACGAAGTTGCCAAGGTAGTGACAGAGACAATGCATAATTACCTCATGTATCAGAAACTGCTAAAATGTGAGTATGATTTATGTAAGATGAATGAATCTTTTTTACACATATACTGCCACATTTCATGTGTTTTTATTGTCCTATTCCTTTCTACAAGACAATGTATATTGTAATTGTACATGGCAAATGATTCAAACTCGAGAGTGATGTAAATGACAACTGAAGATGATAAACTTTTTTTTTTTCACCGCTCATATGTGAAAGCAAATTGAACAACATTGATATTCATGCACAGGAACAGTAAGTCCATGTCATTCCATTCTGACATTTAAAAATGAAAGAAGATCATAATGTTGAATGAGCAAATACATGTGTAAACATTATTTACATGGACACTTGTTCCTTACCAAAAATTTGAGTAATCATCCGATGAGCAAATTCAAAGGTCGAGACTTTGTGTCTTGATATTTCCATGGAATTACCTACCATTATGCTTATCCTAATCTGCTACTTATCTTGACTTCTTTGTTGGCTTTATTGACATTCAACCCTACATGTTGTATTATGATCATGTTCGGTTTCTGTACACGGTCAAGGCAATGTGGAAGCATCCATCGTAACTATATTACTGAAATGAATATTGGTAAACACACTCTTCCAAGCTACTTGTAAATCAATTCAACAGTCAACCATCTTTCCAAATATTTTTTTTTCATCCCAGGTTTCTATGTTCCTAAGGACAAACTCCATCCTGACACATTCAAGGGTTGTTTCCGTCACTTCAAGGGCCCCCGAAGACGAGAGATTGCAGCAGCCAGAAACAATAGTTTGCTGGAGAGTGGGAAAGACCATATCTTGGAGAGCCAGAAGCGGAGAGTGAATGGACTCAACAAGAAGCAGAAGAAGCTTGAGAAGCTAGGCATCAACTTCAAGATTGAGGGTGTGGTGAGTATCTTGAATAGTACATGTACCTCACCATGTTGTACTAGGGGCTCTTGCAGAATAAGCGTCAATAAACTCAACAAAAAAAACTAAACGCAACTTTATTTTTAACAACTTGGGAAAGCGTATTTGAGAGTTGAATTTAGTGTTTTGAGTTGCGTTTAAACAAAAGTTTTTATGCATGAGGGCTAAAGTGACAGAACATTTGCTCCTGCGACATTCGCTCCAGCCTTTTTTCATCAAAGACATATGATTAGTGTACCTGTTTGCATTTGGGTGATAGGTTTGGTATAGGGTTAGAGAGAGTTTAATGGAGTTAAAGAGAAGGTTGAGTTCTAGGGAGAGGTGAAAAATAATTTGTGAGCGTTGTCATTGTTATTATGCAAGTGTGGAAGAACATCAGAGAAAAAATGTTCCCTGAAAAGCATGGCTCTTCAAATGCCTTCATATTCTAAATTTGACAAGTAACAGCCTAAAAATGAGGCCCGATTCTTATACCACATCCCATACATATCTCTGTGTATAGTGCTTGTTACTTTACCAAGACTGTGCTAAATTTCTGATCATTTTGATGACTCCAGAATCTTCCAGTACACATGAATGCTTATATGCTACATGATAAACTTTTTCAGATTGATTCCACACTGTTTCTTTCACAATGCAATCGCATGACCAGAACTCAAAACTCAAGTATAGTGTTTGGTTCAGGTTTTGGGCATTGACCATGGAGCAGTTGTCGCTTGAGCATGGTCGTTCAACACATTGTATATTAGTCAGACTCTTGATGGTTAATTCTTTCTAGGAGGTAGTTGGCATTTATAATTTGAAGCTTTGATTTACTTCTCAATTACGTGTACAAGTGTTCGTTTTTCCAGGGACTATAAAGTGTAACATGTTAATGATATGTTTTCAGTTGGGGATTATTTGTGTAAATCATATTCAAGTTATATTTGTCATTTTTACTTACATGTATATTGTTCAATGAAATAAAGCATGATTAAAGAATGGTGGTTCTTGTAAATGATAATAAAAGTATTCAATATTCACCTCTTACATGTGACTGTTGAATGAATGTGATTACTTCTTCTGATGCAGGAACCCTATGAATTTATTTAAGCTTTGCTTGCATTATAGATATATTTGTTATACTTTCTAATGTAGTGTTTCATTGTGTTGAATAAACTTCCACCTCCCTCCCCCCCCAAAAAAAAAAAATTAAAAAATAAAATAAATCATCTTGAATTCTTGATCCATTTCACTGGTGTGACATTTGAGTTTGCCTTTAAATAAATATTTCACTCGGTCTACAGGCCTTAAATTAATCGACGGCCATCGACGGCCAGGCCGTCGATGCCCCTATGACTGGCCGCGGTGCCCTCCCAAAAAAAGATATATTCACGGCCAAAAAGGCCGTGCCCTTTTTTTTAAACTGGCCGACGTGCCTTTTTTTCCAACTGGACGTGCCCTTTTTATTTTAAATTTGCGCACATAAAACCACCAATTGCGCCCATAATCATCTAAAACTAGACGGCAAGGCGCAAGTGTTTTCCGTGAAAATGCGCCCATAAATTATTAGAACAGTAAAAATAGACGAATCACGAACAGTTTGCCGCCCACGAGCTCTCTTCTAGCTTCGTATTTAGTGCTTTAATAAGGCTTAAGTGCCGTGAAAATGCGTCCTTTGTTATTATATAGGCAATGCGCTAGCGCACGTACGTACGTACGTTCATATTATGCGATCGCATGATATGCATATGGTGCATGCTGTTGACGCACGCACGTACGTACAAATCGAAGGCCAGGATCAAGAAAACAAATCGTCAAATGGAGAAATAAACAAGCATTCAAATAGTCATTAGAGATCTGTCGAGGTTTGTTTGTAGGCCTAGTTTATTATTTTATCTCAAATAGAATTTAGAATTATCTTATTAATAAGTTAAGAACACCTACGATGTTCTCGATCGTAGTTACTCTCATTTTGCCACCAGCCGACCTCGCTTCAAAAAGCTACCCCGCCAGCTTCCCAAGACGAACGTTTCGAGTCCCGGTGAAATTCCGAGGGTGCATCGGTTTCGCTGGCAAACTTCCAGCCCGACAGCTTCCCACCAAAAGTGGCGAGAGTGTGTGTGCGAGGAACGATTTTGGTTTCGTGAATGCACGTTACGCAACTGAGCTGAGCGTGTCACTTTCAGCTGTCGAATGTCTATAAGGACATTTTTACATCTTATTTCATTAGTTAGGCCTATGTAGACCTTTCTATACAACAGTTAAAAAGATAATTTCTTCAAATTTGCTCCTACTACCGAGAGAGTGGCGGAAGGTTTGTGTGTGAGGTGCGATTTTGATTTGGAATACCCGGCCCGGTAAACTTGCCAATTAAGTCCTTCTGACTTTCGATGTTTGTGAAATTGGCAATTTATTTATTCATTTGCTCATCAATATTTTTAGTTACTTTAAAATACTGTTTAATGTGCAATTTTGATGTTCTTAATCAATCTTTCCTGTTCATATTGTTAAGATTAAAAAGTTATTAAATTGATCGTTCGATCTATTCACATTATGAAATTAACATTTGTAGACTCTCTTTGAACTTATGATTAGATAAGCGGCCTATCTGTTTTTGGAAAATTGCCCCTTGCTCTGGTAAATCCCCGTGGCAAAGGGCAACTTAAAAAAAAAATTGCCCCTTGCTCCTGGCTGCTAAATCTAAGGCTTGCGGGCCGCCGCCTTGTTTGCAGGCGCGTAGCCAGAGTTTGGTGTTTGGGGGGGCACATACATGTAATCGATCGAGGTCAAGAAAAGGGGTCTACAAAATTTCAACCGATCCTGGAAATTTTAGGGGGGGGCACGTGCCCCCCGTGCCCCCCCCCCCCCCCCCCCCCCCCCCGTGGCTACGCCTACGCGCCTGCTTGTTTGTATGTACCGTAGACCTCTATACATTCTGTGAAGAAGCTGGTGCTAAAAGTCATGGGAAATTGATCCTGCACAAGTTTCATAAAATACACATGACATCTAACAAAAATAGAATCAATTTTTTTGGCCTCATACTGGATGCCCTTTTTGTAAAATATTTTGGCCTCGATGCCCTTTTTGTAAAAATATTTTGGCCTTGGTGCCCTTAAAAATATGAGGTACTCGAGGCCAAACTGGCCTTGCCCTAAAAATGACGAAATTTAAGGCCTGGGTCTATAAATAATAATAATAATAATAATAATAATGGTGGCTTCTTATATAGCGCACATGTCCGTCACGTTGTGACGCTCCTGGCGCTGCCCCGATTATTACCCTGGCTTTAGCACAAGAGTCATTGACAGAAAAATATTGATTTATTGTTCTTTTTTTCTTTTCTGAAAGGACTCTGAGTGGAAACGACTGCAAGAATCACAGCCTCCCGCACCAAAGGTTGCTGTCCCAAAGAAGGCTGCAAAAGTAACAGCAAAGACACCCTCCAGATCAAGGAAACCTGCTGCAAAACGAGAACAGAAAGGTGCTGTGAAGAGGAAGAGGGCCAAGACTGCAGGAGCACCCAAGTCCAAGAAGAAGCAGCACATCGTTGATTCTGGTGATACAGCGGAGGCAAGTTTAGCAGCCCCAGCAAAGAAAAGGAAACCAGAGAAAGAAGAGACAACTAGCGAAGAGAAGGAGATTAAACAGACTGAAATCAAAGTCACTCCAAAAGGGAAGGCTAAACAGGAAGCCAGTAGGGGAGCTCAGAGTGCCAAGGTGCCTTCTAAAGGGAAAGCAGCCATAGGTGTCAGGACTGCTGTCAGAAAAAGCACAAGATTGTCTTTACGATGATTGAAAGATGATAGATACTAATGAACATTGTAATATCCAGTACCAGTCAAATGGAGAAGATTCCTCTCATAATTAAGTACTGAATATTTACTTTGAACTTTCAAGCCCCTTCAAACAGCGCCAAATCCTGGTCCTTTCTCTACTTGTGTAGCTGTTGCTGATTTCCAAGAAACACATCGAAGTTGGAGAAAGCCAAATCAGAAAGCTAAACCAAGAATATTACTGATCTTGCTCTTCATAATGTAATGTACATTTTCACGATTCCAGGTTTAGTCACTCAGGAAACCATGTATTGGCCTGTGTAAAATATACATATGAATTATGAAATCTTCCTTAGAGCATCCATCAGTTTCTTTCTTCTTCTTTTTCCTCCCTCCCCCTCTCTCCCCTCCCTCCCCTCCCTCCCTCCCCCTCCCTCCCCATCCCTCCCCCTCCCTCCCCATCCCTCCCTCCCTTCCTCCCCCTCCCCTCCCTCCCTCCCCTTCCCTCCCCTCCATCCCTCCCCCTACCTCCCCTCCCTCCCTCCCCCTACCTCCCCCAAGCAATTGTATAGATTTTTTAAGGAGATATATGGCACAACTTGGATCAACTTCTTCATTGTAGTTTCAGGGGCATACTGTTTGGCACGCTACTATATACAAAACTTGTTAATGCTGACCATGCTGGGTCAGAACTATGAAGGACATTCATATATCCCTGTAAATGTAGGAATGTGTTTAATTGATGTTATGAATGATACTTCATTCTAGACTTTCTAGTATCTCCCGCTCCAAACAGACATGATATGGCCAATGTGATGCTCAAATATTTATCAGGACCGATGCCATATTTTTCTTCTGCTACATGGAGTCATGTATGAGCAATCTGGCGAGTCCTGCATCTAGCTTCCATTAATCAGGGAGGTATTAAGTGACGCCTCCCTGCATTAATCTTCCTAGTGTGTAGATAACACTCCTTTAGCCAGTAATGACATTTATTTTGCTGCATTGGATGTTGCACGTGAATTGGTAATTGTTCCAGATTAACTTTATATCATCCCATTTCAAGGGAATCCCACTTTCATCATGAAAAAAATGTTTAAAGGAGTCACACCAAGAAGCAAAAGTGTATTGAATTGATGCAAAATTCATATCATTGCGAAGGGGAAGCCTTAATGATCAAATACAACAAATTTCCTCTTCAAAATATGTTTGGGGCCCGCAGAAATCAACTTTCAAAAATGTTAGTTTTGAGATCCAGATTTACTGCCTTCAGCAGTCCTTCGTATGACGTCACTATTGTGACGTCACACCCTGGACACGGCTGTCTAGCTGCAAACTAATACACGCGCGACTCCGGTATGCGGCCGGTACCGAGCTGTTTGTCCAGGGTGTGACGTCACTATTCAGAGCTCGCTACGCTCGTGTGTTTGGCTTACGTTCGGGGGCGCTTGGGGGTTTAAGAAGGGTCTTGAAAAATTGCATTTTACGCCTTTCCATGATATCTATATGATTTCTCAGCAAATTATTCGTGTTTTTCAAGAGAAAATCTTTCTATCCATATGTAATTTGTTCTAATTATCAGTTGTTAGTAAATTTTCTTTGTGTAGCTCCTTTAAAGGCATCATTTAACAATGTTAAATCTGAAATGCATGGCCCTACGTGATATCAATGTCTGTGATATGGTGTAATATTGAAGCCCTAACAAAATTGCGCTTCAAAATGATCATAAAATGTCTAAAAAAAGTTAAAATCTTGAATGACCGGTTTTACCATACTCATTTTCCCTTTTAGACTGTAGTGTTATAAAAACCATTAGGAAAACAAATTCTGAATTTTTTAATTCCAATCATAGATATCTTGATAAGCAAACAGGCGATTGGCTTCTAAAAGCCATTGGATTCATGTATGACCTAAAGGTTTATAATTATGATTGCAGCATGAGCTAAATCCATGATTTTTTTTAAGAATCTGAGGCAAAGTTACCCAATCCATTCAAAGCAATTGCTCAGCAAATAATGGAAAATAATTTTGCACATATTATTAATACTGTATTTCTTAAAATGTCATGTCATAATTCGTCCCTGTTTTCACGAAGTGACGGTAGTGAAGAAAATCGTAACGCAAAGTGAATGCAATTTTTTTTCACTACCGTCACTTCGTGAAAACAGCGACGAATTCATGTAATATTCAAGAGACTGTATGTTGGTGTAAATCTTTGCAGAAATTATGTACACTTTTTCTTTTGCCATTTTACTTAGTTTTGAATGGAGGATAAACCATTGAATTCCCATGCAATGTACTTTCCACCATAAGTTGGTACTCTTCACCATAAGTTGGTACTCTTGTCAGAAAGATTATGGAACCTTATAAAACACATGATTACCATATCAGCATTTTTATGTTTATTTTTTTCACCAAGAATGGAACTGAAAGAGATGGGGAAATAGTTGAGAATATAGTTCTTAACAAGTCAAAGTATCATTTAAAATGAGATATAGTAATTAAAAGAAAATCTGGAGAAAGAAATCAAGCCAAGGAAAAGTAAACTGGACATCTGGATTGGATTAACCATGTTTTATTATACAAGGTGATTGATATCTTTCATTTGTTTGTAAAGGCTATAGATATAGTAGAAACTTTTTTCCCTTGTTGCCTTGAATCTGAGTGTAAAGGTTACTTTTTGGAAAAAGAAATCTCTCTATACTGTCCATCCAGGAAACTAAAGAAAAATCAATTTATTTGAACCAATTTACAGTTTCCTCCGAGTAAAAGAAAACGTAAAAAAGAATAAGACTGGAAGAGTGAAAGAGAGAGAGAGAGAGAAGGGGAGGTAGAGGGAGAAAGGGAGAGAAAGAGAGAGAGAGATGATTAATCTAGTGCAAGAAGAGGATTTTAAAAGGTGAGAGTCGGGACTGGAAAGGGGGGGGGGAATGACTCAATTATCACAGACAGTTAAACTTCACTAGATGCTACATTGCATTAAAATTTGAATATAAAATCATGTATTTATTGCAAATTCATTTACATTTTACGGTTCCATGACACATGCTCCACCGACGATTGCTTCGCCGACATTTACTCCGCAAAACGCGATAATTGGTCCGCGACATTTGCTCCGCGACATTTGCTCCGACGTCAAATGCTCCGCCGACACTTTCTCCGCCGACAATTGCTCCGCCGACAGATGCTCCGCCGACAATTGCTCCGCCGACAATTGCTTCGCCGACAATTATTGCTCCGCCGCCAATTGCTCCGCATGAAGCGATAAATGCTCCGGTGACAAATGCTCCTCGAACGACAGTTGCTCCGCCGACATTTGCTCTGCCGACAATTGCTCCTCCGACAATTGCTCCGCATGAAGCGACACTTGCTCCGGTGACATTTGCTCCGACGACATTTGCTCCGTCGACAATTGCTCCGCAGACAGATGCTCCGCCGACTCCTACATTTGCTCCGCATGAAGCGACACTTGCTCCGGTGACATTTGCTCCGACGACATTTGCTCCGCATGAAGCGACACTTGCTCCGGTGACACTTGCTCCGGTGACATTTGCTCCGCCCAAAAAGTGTCCTATAAAATACAAATGCTTCGCCGACAATAATTTTTTTTCACGGGTTATTTTCGTTGTTTTTTTCTTTTTCATTTTCTGAATGCATTTCATGAAATAATGTAGATGAAATGTAATGAATGAATTTCGATGATGTGGGAGGAAAAAGGAGTTACCTAAAAGTCATTTCGAATATACTGAAATAACTTTCTATCTATCACTGAACGTCCCATATAATGTACACTAAACACTCATTACATGTCGTGGGAAGTTTTTTTAAAAAAAGTAGAGCAGCAAGCCACATTCCCCCATACGCGCATACCTCCTAGTTAATTTCAAACAGCTCATCAATATGTAAGACCTGAAATGACCTCACTGCAAGCAAGCACATGCAACAAAAACAACTGAAAACTGAAAACTGAAAACTGAAAACTTATTTGTTTCTTTCGTTGTAAATATTGTAATATTTTAATTCATCATTATCGTGTGTAGGAGAATTTCGAATTTTTTTTTCTTCGGTTTATTGTTGTTTTTCCTTCTTATGTCTGTTACATGTCCTTTTCTCTAAGCGCCATGAGCACCGAAAGGTGGACCTGTGTGCTATACAAGTAGCCACTATTATTATTTTTATTATTATTATTAAACCATCTGCAAGTAAAGCATTATACAATGTACTAGGTCATCATGGAAGTTCTAGAAAACAACAGGGGAGGGATCAAAATAAGCTTTGAAGGGCACTTATACGTAAAGAAGAGAACCCATTCAGACGGGAAAATTAGATAGCAGCCTTTCCGCTTATTCCCATTTATACAAATCAGTTTGTTGCAGTTTGATGTTAGTTCTTCATGTTAAGCCAATTGCTCTTCTTCCGGTGGTTCCGTGAGTCCCTTAAAGTCAGTGAAAACAAAGTACTCGAATGAGACGGGGTGTTTTACACACTAATATATATATATATATATATATATATATATAGTAAAGCATATTTTGATACCTTGTCAGCCCCCGGAATCTCAGGGGTTTCAGGCATTTGATTACGGTCAGATGAACATATTTTTATAACTTTTTTGTGACACTGGCAGGACACTGAATGGCGTGAGGTCCAGCGGGCGAAGCCCCCAGAAGCTCAGGGGTTCTAGGCTATATATTATATTTGAAATGTTGGTTTATTTTGCTGAGAGAATATAAACAAATTGTTGCTGAGACATGTTGAAGAAAAATGGTCTAATGGAAAAATGAAGAGATTATACTTTTCTGCTCATTATTGAATACAGGGAGGGGAAGTCCACCTTGATGAAGTTTTTATCGTTTTGCACATAATCAAGAAACTAAGGTTACTTGTTTATGATTCTATTCCATATGGTATTTTAATTATTATGATAATCAGAAAGGTTTGATTGTCATGCACATAATCAAGAACCTAAGGTTACCTGTTAACGATTCTATTCCATATGGTGTTTTAATTATTATGAAAATCAGAAAGGTTTGATTGCCGTGCACATAATCAAGAACCTAAGGTTACCTGCTTACTCTCTTTAAAAAAAAGAGTGAATTTTCACTCTATTTTCACTTTCTTGGGAGTGACGTCCGTGATCACACAAAAATCCGGCCCGTACTGACTTTACACACCGGAGATAGATGGGTGCTTTCAAAGAGAGGGAACATACATGCGCGTACCCTACATAACACTGAGTTTGTGGGGGGGGGGGGGGGGGGGAGAAAAGTCGGGTGAGAAAGGGGGAATGACAAGGAAATGGTGCTAAGTGACAGTAACGACGAATAAGGGAAAACTATAATCGGGAGATT